CATGAACTCTTGTCGAATTTGAACTGGTTCAAATTTTGATCAGAGTTTGACGAAAGTTTTGGCCACGCATGTGGTAATATCCAGTCAACTCTCATGAAAACTCTTGCGTCTCAACTCTCATCTAGTTTGACCAAGGCTTTAGTTATAAGCACAAAAACAACACCAACACACCTGAAAAATAGCTTGGGCAACCAGGCCGAGTCTAGACATACTCAACTGAGCCCAATTTACAACATTTGATCCAGATGTAAAAGCGCCCTCAACCTATAGAAAAATAGAGAGACAGTTGGTTAACAATCAGTGGGAACTTGGTACCATATTTTTGTGTGGGTTTTGATGTTATGTACTCAGGTGAACATAATCTTTTTGATGTTACTCTGAGTGTATATACCACACACTCGAACAGACTTGGCCTTGTAGCTCAGTTGGCAGAGCATTGGATTGGTTCCCAAAGGTTGCGGGTTCGGTTCCAACCGTGGTCAGGCTAACTTTTCAGCCTGCCCGGTGTGGATATACACTTAGAGTAACATCAAAAACATTGGTTCCTGTATATTACTTTTTATCCCAACAACTGTACTGTACCTTGCAAAATATCTCAATGCCATAAATGAGGAAAAATATTAAAACGGTGAACATTAGGAAAACAAAGCAACCAGAGAAGACATCAGCCAACAACATCTATTGAGAGAACACAAATCAGAAAGAAGTTTTAAATAAATAAATTTATGCATTTCTTTATAAAAAATGAATAAAAAAAGAAGGTTGAAACAATAATATGTGTATAAAGAAGTATCGTACATTTTATCCAAGATTAATACACAAGCAGACAAATGCATCCTAGAATTTTAGGTATACTGGTATAACAGGCAATCATTAAACAATGGCAACTTGCAATGTCCGTTGCTTACATACCAATGTTTGTGAGTCTTTGACAGTCTTGGTTGAGATGATTTGAGCGAGCATCACAGTGAATATAAATAAATTAAACACAAGAAAGAACTGCGACGATTTCTTAAGAAACTGTGATTTTTCTGCCGTCCAACCAGATAGATGAAATGCCTAGCATGGAAAATAATGAAAAAGTTTAAGTTATGTTATCCAACCCTTTCAGCTTTAACTCATTAATATGCAAGACTCCCTCTCTTGATGAGTAAAATAATCTGGTATCAGACAAAGCAAAATAATAAAATAGCTAGGTAAAAGGTTGCATTCGGGCACATTGCAGAGCTTAATGGGTTACAGACACATTTAATGCACTATGCTCTCCCCTTGACAAGTAAAATCTGGCACATGTGGTTGTGTTGCAACTTCATGGGTTAAAAAGTAACATTATTAAAGCTGCCTAGGGAGAAGGGCTAGACATGAGGAAGGGAATGTGAAGCAGGGCACACAGTAAGAAGTAAGGGGGCAACTGAAAGAGAAGTAAGGGAAGATGGGTTAAGGATGGAACAGAGAGGGTCAGAGAGGGACAACCATGGTGAAGGTGAGATGGGAAGGAATAAGAGATAGGTAAGGAGAGGAACAGGGGGGGGGTCAAGAAGGGACACAGAATAAATAAGGGGGTTGGAGGTAGGGCAGGGCAAAGGGCAGTTGAAGGTACAAGGGGAGAAATAAGGTGATCATCTTGGGGAGGGGCAAGGTAAAGGACAAAAGGGGCACATGAAAAAACAAGGCAAGGGGAGAATCAGGTGATTGGTGAGGGGGGAAGGACAAAGAGAAGTTGGAGAGATAAGGGGCATGGGGGGGGGG